ATAAATAAATATAAGATATTTGGATGATTCAGATCTTCGGATTTCATGCCCATCCCTGTTTCCGATCGAGTAAAAAGTTAAACGCGAAAAAACCAAGCACGGGTAAATAATATTGCAGTACGTGTCCGATGATGCCCGCAAGGAATCGAGTACAGCGAATTTTAATCATTGTGTTCTCCCGTTCTATCAACCTATGTGCTCGGGGTTGGGGGGAGGGGGCATACGATTATCATATATCATTGTATGATGTACTTGCCTACATCGTATTCTGGACAATAGCGTCGTCTAGAAAATTGCGGTCGTCCGATTATTTGCATCCATGGCGAACTTCACCCTAAAACCGTCCGATGTAGACAACGATGAGTGGGATATTTGCAGGCAGAAGACAACATACGTGGCACCCATCTACTGTCAGGCTGCTTTACCGCGAAAACAATTAAAACCGTGCGTTATACATACAAATTTGAAAATCGCTTCGTCGACGCTGTGTAATTCGAACTGTAGATTTCGTAAAAACGCCCAGTCAACGACCCGTACGTATTCGTTTGCTTAAACGGATTATCGGGACAATACCGCGAAGTACGCGCCATCGCTGTATGAATTTACAATATTTTATTTTCTTTCCAAGTCCAATATTCAAATTCAGTGATCCCGAACAAGACATCATGATTTTGTTCGGTCTATTATTGAATGTAATCGTTACAGTCTTAAACAACTCGTTTCTCGTATTATTTCGGACTGAACGTCGTAAAAAGACGGATCCAACACCATCAAATATACATGTTTATCTATCACAATATATTTTATAATTTTTACTGGACACTGGCAACAAATTATCGAAACACCAACAACAATGACTAAAAATCACACCTCCGGGAAATAAGATAATATCTTCATAAAAGTTTTCAACACAAATAAATGTTAAGTAATTGTGTTTGACGTCAAAAAACTAAAAATCACATACGGTAGTGTATGGCAAGTCGTTAGAGAATCCGAACTAATTAAAATGGATAATGTGACTTGTTTTGTTCACTTTGAATAATTAATATCGTTTTTTAAAATATAATGTTTCTGTTGAACGTCTTGACTATTTGTATCGGAATACGACCGATTTAATATTTTTTATAGTCACTTCTTAAATAACGGTCGTGCATGACCGGTAACGTACTATTTTAATGAATAATAATTCAAGTAAAATATTTGAGTGACTACATCGTTCTGTGTTCACAAAGCAATATTTGAATAGGATATAAATAACGATTCAAGTCGCGGTAACCATTCGCATTCAGTTGTTGGGAATAATAGATTAGACACATCAAGAAACATGAATCATAAGCAAACAATATTCGGTTAGTACATCGGTTGATTCCATCATTTTTGTACATTGTAACTTTTAAAATACTCTATTCTGCAAGTGTGCAATACGCACGTACGTATTTTCCACAAAGATTTTATTTTCCGTCGAAAGATAACCATTAGAGGGTTATGTATTTTAGGTAATCTACAGATAAATATGTGTAATTGATTCATACATATACGTGTTCAATTAAATGTGAACGGAAAACATTTCTCGATTAGGAATACTATAAAAATACAGTGCAGCTATTGGAAACACCACTTAAATATGTATTATTATTTTTTTTTTGTTTTAATAAATTTTCCTAAAAATATCAAAATTATATACTATACTATTCACGACATACGAGAAATGACGAATAGATGTAAAATTACTGGGTCCGCCGAAAAACCTTAAAAAAACAATTTGATTCGGATTTCTATAAAATAGCGTTTCCGACATTATTCGTACATGAATTGCGTACACAAATAACATAATATGTTAATGGCTAAATCTGGATATTACATAAGTACGCTCATTCACACTTAGTCAGAAAAAAAAAAAAAACTGCTACGTATTGTGGATTATATTTCTAACCGCTCGTTGATGTCTTCGTTTGTTCAAGGGAACAAGGTATATTTGTCGAATCGGTCGCCACCGGACGAACATTGTTTCAACAAAATCACTGTTTTACATATTGCCTTGTCCGCCGATCGTGCGTCATCGTACAGCGTAGGTGCGGGCATTCGAACCATCGGAAACATTCGCGGATCGTCGAAAATCGTACTGCATACAGGCGCGTACACAAAAATATATTGGAGGAGGGGTTTTGGTTTTACATTTCCATACTTATATAATCTATACGCCACTTTTACTTAAAAAAAAAAAAAATGAAAACATATTTAATAATTTTCCTACATTTCGTGGGGTAGGGGGTGGAACCCCTAAACCTTTTTTGTGTGCGTGCCTGATTGCACAATAGTTGAAATTAACGGATCAGATATACGTGTGTTTTGTAATATTACAAGTACAACGACACGGCTTCGGGTGAACAATAGATTATGATAATCGTATAATATACATAATACATACATATTCGGTACGGTCATGGCCCGAATGGACGTAAAAAGTTTATGATATTATATCGTATGCCGTTTTTGCGGGTACACGCGAGAAAACGAGTAGATCTTATCGGAACGCATACGCGTATGGGTAAAATAGGTAATCGAATGACACAGTGGTGTCACATAACGTACCGGCGAAACCGAATAAATTAACGGGAAAAAAAAGAAATCGAATAAATGTCAATAAATTGTAACTGTTACGAAGAGACAATATACGCATTTGCTGATGTGCGTAGCGCGGTAGATTCGCGCAAAGTGAATTTTTCAATATATTTAGAGATCTCGAAGGTAGTTTACCTATTGATGGACGAACAGTTTCAATGTGCGCCCAATGTGTTATATGATATGTATTTAATGTTTGAAAATCTGCGGAATTACACGATCGAATTCTTTCCGAACGACGAGAATCACAAGATCTGGCAATTCAGACATCCAAGTGCGGAGAACGGTGTCGTGGATGAAATGTAATTATCGTGCGTCATACATTAACTGTGAAGCTTAGGAATGAGATAAACGTGTGTAACTCAAGAATAGGGCCATTTGTAATAATATGTTTGCGGTCGAAAAAATCAAAAAAATTGTTTGGCGTTGAACAAAACGAACGATTCTAAATTCGAAAAATTATTTAAATATTCTAATTATTAACTGTAACTAATTACGCAGTTATAGTCGAAAATTGTACGTCTATTGACCATAATCTGTGATACATTTAAGGAACTGTGAAATTAATACTATTGCACGATATGGACGATATTGTTTCACGACAATTACTTAATATGGTTATACAGTATACCATTTAGATTGTATCGTACCTGGAAAGTACGCTTTCCACGATCTGTGAAACATACAAACGCAAATTGAATTAAAATACTGTGCGTAAATGTCGTGAACATCTCGTGACTTCCTTGTAAACCTGTGCGTGCCGAATAACTTTAAAAGTCTGTACTGCATGCCTGCCGGGTTAAAATAATAAAAGTGATAAAATAATAGTATTAAAATAATAAAATAATAAATGATTGAACAATAAGAATAACAAACGCGCGGTCACGAAACGTTATACGTTACCGTTGCGATTTTATTCAACCTTAAGCACTGTCGACGGATTTGATCCCGCCTACAAACCATTCTAACAACCGTTACACGTTACGAGGACATAACGAAAACCTACGGTGGACGTAATGATTTCCGGGGCCGACGAGAGGATGGGGCGGTGAGGGCTAAAGTCTCGGGGCCCGTACCTCCGAGAGGGCGGGTCGTCTAAGCCTTTTGAACAAAGTTATTTTATAATCGCGTTCGCCGCAGATGCAAATTTAAATATTTTTATTAAACTAAAGTGCGTACGAGTTGTGCGTATATCATAGTCAAACAAGTGTGAAGGGACCTGGAACCGTTCAGCCACGGGACCCCCAAAAGTTCTCGCCGGTCCCGGAGATATCCGCAGTGCACCATATAACGTAACGCGAAAAAAAAAACCGTCAACAACAATAATAAAAACGTCACTTGGCGCTCGTCGGACCGTTTTCGATGATTTTTCAATGGGATGTAGGTACGGCGTAAACACTATTACGATGGCTCCCGATGCGGTCTCCTTTTTTTCGCGCTAAACCTGCGGCGCGTTGCGTTCGAACGCGATCGGAACGCGACGCTCGACCGGTGCCTAGGGCCGTAGTGGCTACGTAAGAGGCACGTTCGCCGCATCGACGTTCGTCCCGCATGAAAAGCAAGCGGGACCGTCCACGGCGTGCGTTGGTTCGCGCGGCCGGAGAGAGGGTCCGCAGTGCCCCGTGGCCGGAGGACAGGGACGAAACATAGTGAACACGTACGCCCGAACAGCGCTATAAGGTCAACGGCTTCCGTCGACGCGTGCGATTCGCGTGAAACTTAACAACCGTGCACCGAGCTGCGGGACCCGCACGGCGGTCGAAACGTTCTCCGAATTCGTCGACGGAGCCGATGACGGCGAAGAGTTGCGGGTTCGTGGTGCGACCGTCCCTCGAAATCTAGC